GTATATTTTGAAATCAGGGAGTGTGATGCTTCCAACTTTGTTCTTTTTTCTCAGGATTCCTTTGGCTATTCAGGGTCTTCTGTTGTTCCATATAAATTTTAGGATTCTTTCTTCTATTTCTGTGAGAAATGTTGTTGGAACTTTAATAGGGATTGCATTGAATCTATAGATTGCTTTAGCAAGTGTGAACATTTTAAACTATGTTAATTCTCCCAATCCAAGAGCACAGAATACCTTTGCATTTCTTTGTCTTCTTTAATTTCTTTCAACAATGTTGTATAGTCTTTCACCTCTTTAGTTAAATTTATTCCTAAGTATTTTATTCTTTTTGTTGCAATTATAAATGGGATTGTATTAATTTCTTTTTGGAACTTCATTGTTAGTATATAGAAACACAACCGATTTTTGTATGTTGATTTTGTATCCTGCAACTTTATTGTATTCATTTATTATTTCTGAAAGTTTTTTGGTGTATTCTGTAGGGTTTTCTATACATAAAATCATCTCATCTACAAATAATGACAATTTCACTTCTTCCTTTCCATTTTGGATCCCTTTTATTTCTTTTTCTTCCCTGATTGCTCTGGCTAGGACTTCCAATACCATGTTAAATTAAATAAGAGTGGCAAAAGTGGGCATTCCTGTCTGATTCCAATTCTTAAAGGAATGGCTTTCAGTTTTTCTCCATTGAATATGATATTAGCTGTGGGTTTCTCATATATGGCTTTTATTATGTTGAAGTACTTTCCTTCTTACCCATTTTATTCAGAGTTTTTTTTTTATCATAAATTGATGCTGTATCTTGTCAAATGCTTTCTCCGCATCTAGTGAGATGATCATGTGATTGTTATTTTTCATCTTGTAAATGTGGTGTATCACATTGATTGATTTTCAGATGTTGAACCATCCCTGCATCCCTGGAATAAATCCCACTTGATCATGGTGTATGATCTTTTTAATGTATTGTTGTATTTGATTTACTAGTATTTTGTTGAGGATTTTTGCATCAATGTTCATCAGTGATATTGGCCTGTAATTTTCCTTTTTTGTGTTGTCTTTGTCCGGTTTTGGTATCAGGCTAATGTTTGCCTCATAGTATAAATTAGGAAGCTTCCCTTTCTCTTTAATTTTTTAAGAAGAGTTTGAAAAGGATCAATATTAAGTCTTCTTTGAATGTTTGGTAGAATTCGCCAGGGAAGCCATCTGGTCCTGGACTTTCATTTTTGGGGAGGTTTTTGATTGCTGTTTCAATCTCCTTACTGGTGATTGGTTTATTCAAATTCTCTATTTCTTCTTGATTCGGTTTTGATTCAGGAAGCTTATATGATTCTAAGAATTTATCCATTTCTTCTAGATTATCCAATTTGTTGGCATATAGCTTTTCATAGTATTCTTTTATAATCTTTTGTATTTCTGAGGTTTCTTTTGTAATTTCTCCTTTGTTTATGATTTTATTTATTTGAGCACTTTATTTTTCTTGGTGAGTCTAGCTAAATTTTGTCAATTTTGTTTATCTTTTCAAGGAACCAGTTCTTAGTTTCATAGACTTTTTCTGCTTTTTTTTAGTCTCTCTTTATTTCTGCTCTGATTTTTATATTTTCTTCCTTCTACTGATTTTAGGATTTGTTTGTTCTTCCTTTTTCTAGTTCCTTTAAGTGCTCTGTGGTCTTGTTTATCTGAGATTTTTCTTGCTTATTGAGGTAGGCCTGTATTGCTATAAACTTCCCTCTTAGAACTGCTTTTGCTATATCTCATAAATTTTGGCACGTTGTATTTTCATTTGTCTCCAGGTACTTTTTGATTTCTCCTTTCATTTCTTCATTGACCCAATAGTTCTTGTGTAGGATTTTGTTTACTCTCCATGTATTTGTGGCTTTTCTGATTTTCTTCCTGTAGTTGATTTCTAGTTTCATACATTTGTGGTCAGAAAAGATGCTTGGTATTATTTCAGTCTTCTTAAATTTATTGAGACTTGTTTTGCGGCCTGATATGTGATCAATCCTGGAGAATGTTCCACATGCATTCAAAAAGAATGTGTATTCCATTGTTTTTGGATGAAAAGTTTTCTATGTATCTACTAAGTCCATCTGGTCTGATGTGTCATTTAAGGCCAATGTTTCATTATTGATCTTCTGTTTGGATGATCTATCTATTGGTATAAGTAGAGTGTTAAAGTTCCCTACTATTATTGTGTTATTGTCTATTTCTCCCTTTATGTCTGTTAATGATTGCTTTATATATTTAGGTGCTCCAATGTTCGGTGCATAGATATTTATAAGTGTTATATCCTCGTGTTGGATTATTCCCTTTATCATTATGTAGTGCCCTTCTTTGTCTCTTGTTACAGTTTTTGTTTTAAAGTCTACTTTGTCTGATATAAGTACTCCAGCATTCTTTTCATTGGCATTTACATGCAGTATCTTTTTCCATCCCTTCACTTTTAGTTTGTGAGTGTCTTTAGGTCTGAAGTGCATCTCCTGTATGCAGCATATATATTTGGGTCTTTTTTTTTTAATCCAATTGGCCACCCTATGCCTTTTGATTGGAGCATTAGTCCATTGACATTTAGAGTAGCTAATAAGTATGTACTTACTGCCCTTTTGTTACTTTTTTCCTGGATGTTTTAGTAGTTCTTCTCTGTTCCTTTCTTCTTCTCTTGCTCTCTTCCCTTATGGTTTGATGGCTTTCTTTAGTATTGTGTTTGGGTTCCTTTCTCCTAATTTTTTTGCGTATTTTTTTATAGGTTTCTGGTTTGTGATTACCCTGAGGTTCATATATAATAACGTACATAAATAGCAATCTATATCAAGTTGATAGTCTCTTAAGTTTGACCTCTTGCTAAAAGCTCTACTCTTTTACTCCCCTCCTCTCACATTTTATGTTTTTGACATTATATTTAACACCTTTTCTGAGTGTATTTGTTAACCTCTTATCATGGAAATAATTTTAGTACTTTTTTCTTTTGACCTTCATATTAGCTTCATAGGTGGTTGATCTGCTACCTTTACTGTATATTTCCCTTTACCAGTGATTTTATTTTGATAACTTTATTATTCCTATTTGTAGTCTTTTCTTTTCCACTTAAATCCCTTTAACATTTCTTGTGAGACTGATTTATTGGTGATAGACTCTTTCAGTTTTTGCTTGTCTGGAAAACTCTATTTCTCCTTCCATTCTGAATGATAACCTTGCTGGGTAGAGTATTCTCGGCTGTAGGTTTTTTCCTTTCAGCACTTTAAATATATCATGCCAATCCCTGCTAGCCTGTAATGTTTCTGCTGAGAAGTCAGCTGATAGCCATCTAGGGTTTCCTTTGTATGTAACTTGTTGCCTTTCTCTTGCAGCTTTTGGGATTCTCTCTATTTTTAATTCTTGACATTTTAATTATAACATATCTTGGTGTGAAGACATCTCTTTGGGTTCATCTTCTTTGGTGCTCTCTGTGCTTCCTATACCTAGATGTCTGTTTCCTCCCTTAGGTTAGGAAAGTTTTCAGCTATTATTTCTTCAAATAGATTCTCTGCCCTTTTGTCTCTCTCTTCTCCTTCTGGGACACCTATGATACAGATGTTAGTGCACTTGATGTTGTCCTAGATGTGCCTTAGACTGTCCTCATTCTTTTAGATTTTTTTCTGTTCAGCTTGTTTAATTTCCTGTAGCCTTTTGTCCAGCTCACTGATCTGTTCTTCTGTATCATCTACTCTGCTATTGAGTCCCTGTAGTGAATTTTTCATTTCCATTATTGTATGCTTCAGTTCTGATTGGTGTTTTATATTTTCCATTTCTTTGTTGAAGTTCTTATTGTATTCATGTATTCTTCTCCCAATATTAGAGAGCATCCTTATGACTATTAGTTTATAATCTTTATCAGGTATATTGTTTACTTCTGTTTTGCTTAGTTCTTTTTCTGAGGATTTGTACTGTTCCTGTATTTGGAACATGGTCCTCTGTCTCCTCATTTTGCCTATTTCTCTATATTTACATCTATGTATTAGGTACATCAGCTACATCTCCCAATCTTGAAGAAGTGGCCTTATGTAAGAGATGCCTTATGAAGCCCAGCAATGTGCTCCCCTCTCATCACCAGTCTAAATGTTCCAGGAGTGGAACCAAGTTGATTTCTAATGTCACAGATATTCACATGGAAATTTACAGGATACCTACCATTGAATGGATTCTATTTTTTTAAGTGAACAATTCTCCCTGAAAAAAAATCCTTATATTTCTGAATTGTAGAATCCTTATGAAAGTATTTCTTATGATTCTACCACAAGGTAAATTAGAAAATGCCAAATATATAGAAATGGTGCACAGTACAAGCAGCCCCTAATCATATTGTTGAATTATGTAAGTACTCATAATTTGTATATTCATATTTTGAAGTAATCCAGTGAAAAAGAGCAGTAGTATGTATATCATTTGCTAGTGCTGCCATAAAAAAAATACCATAGAATGGTTGGCTTAAAGAGAAATTTGTTTTCTCACAGTTCTGGAGGTTATAAGTCCCAGATCAAGGGGCAGGCAGTGTCAGTTTCCTCTGAGTCTGCCCTCCTGCTTCCTCTTCATGTGCTCTTTCCTCTGTGCACTCACACCCTTTGCATCCCAATCTCCTCTTTATAAGGACACCAGTCAGATTAGATTAGAGCCCACCCTAATGGCCTCATTTTAACTTAACTACACTTTAAAGGCCCTATCTCCAATTAGTCACATTTTTGAGGTACTGAGCATCAGAGCTTCAACATATGAATTTGGTTGGGGGGACAATAAGAGTATGTAAGAACGGGGTAATTTACTCAGCAAAAACCACTATTTAAATTGTAGTGTGTTATAGGAGGCCATGGCGATTTTCTTTTGCTCATTGTCATGTACCTATCTCATATTTATATATTTACCATAAATAACAACATCTTTATATACTCTATCACTGATCAAAAAGTAGCATAAGTCTTTTATATACACCAGCAAGCAACAGGAAAAAAAGATTATCTTACACTTTAGAATTCTTATTGAATGTCATATTTTTTGTTATAATTCATAATCTAATAAAATAAAAAATGATTTTAATGTGGAAAATTTTGGTAGATGACATTGTATATATAATACATATTTTATATTCATAATTATGTTAGCTTCACATATGCAATTCCAACACATATGATTTATGTTGTGTGGTGCATAACATAATGTAGTACAACTAGGAATATAATGCTTTCATATTTTGAGGATTATTCATCTATGGTTTTTAAATTTTGTTCTGAGTAGTATGTTTATTAAAATTTCAGAAGCCTTTATAGTCCACAGTGAGCATTTATCCTTTAGCAGGGAGGTGTACTTTTTGTAATATCTCCTAGAAATACTTTGGCATTACATCTGGATATGATTTCCACAGAAACATAGCTACATACTTTTCTAAATACTTTGAATTAACGGGCTTCTCCTTAGACTTTTTGATACATAATAAAGTTTGATTTCTACTGAAGGCTTTCTGTCACTGTAATTTTTAGTTGAAGATATGCCCACATTAGTTTCTCTTTAAGGGACTTTTTCCTTATGCGTCCTCTTATGTCGACCAAAGGCCGAGCTATGTCTGAAGGCTTTCCCACAATGATTGCATTCATAGGGTTTTTCTCCTGTGTGAGTTCTGTGATGTATAATGAGGTCAGACTTCTCAGAAAATGTTTTTTTACATTCATTACATTCATAAGGTTTCTCCCCAGTATGAATTTTCTGATGTCTAATAAGGCATGACACTTTACTGAATGCTCTCTCACACTTGGTGCATACATAAGGTTTCTCTCCTGTGTGTATTCTCTGATGTACAAAGAGATGCGACTTCATGCTGAAGGCTCTCCCACATTCTTCACACACAAAGGGTTTCTCTCCAGTATGAGTTCTCTTGTGAATGTTGAGGTGTGATTTTTGGAAAAAGGCTTTCCCACATTCATTACATTCATAGGGCTTTTCCCCAGTGTGAATTCTCTGATGTTCAACGAGGTGTGACTTATGGGAGAAGGCTTTTCTACATTCAGTACACTCATAAGGTTTCTCTCGAGTATGGATTCTCAGATGCATAATGAGATTTGATTTCTTCCTGAAGGCTTTCCCACACTCAGTACATACAAAGGGCTTTTCTCCTGTATGAATTCTCTTGTGTATAATGAGGTCTGACCTCTGGAAGAAGGGTTTCCCACATTCACTACATTCATTCTTTCTTTCATATCTTCTATGACTGCTAAATGAGTCTAAATAGTTCAAACTCCTACCATCAGAGTCATGTTTTTGGAATCTTTGTTTTGAAGAAACAAAGTCTGTGCTCAGAGGAAATATATTTCCAAGTGCATTACACTTGTGACCCTTCTCCTCAGTCACAGTTTCCTGGTCAGTGAATGCAACATGCCTCGAAAGAGTTTTTGGGTTCTCCTGCTGCCTCTCCACATGGTCATCAACTTGCAAGACTTCGTCTAGAAGGAAGCACAATAAACTACATGTTGGTGAATATTTCTGCTAAAGTATTATGCCTCATAACTCTTCGCCCTATTGTGAGATTGAATCTTTACTTTCAGGTCTAATATCCATATCTAAAAGAAATACTAAGGCTACACAGAATCTGTACCCCGGAGTTTTACAAGAAAACCACAACTTAAAAAAAAAATTCTAATAGTAGACACAGAAACAGAGACTATAGAAAGAGCACAAATATATCTAGCTATACATAAACAGGACTTTGCAAACTGGGGAGAAAAATGGAAATAATCCCAAGGAGTAGTAAAAGGAACAAAGAAGGACAGCTGCTTGAGGGCCATTTGGGAGAGCCCATCTATGAGAATTAAATGACTAGGGTGAAATGGCGATTAGAGGGAATAAAGGAAGGACTGGACGAGGAACAGAGGGATGTGAGCTAGTGCTTCATCAACTCATTGCTGGATCACTATAGTTTAATCTTCACTTGTGTCTCTGTTTCCAGTGTCTTTGAGCTCCTGTCTATTTACCCATCGACATGAAACTGATTTTACAAAACCATCAATTCCACCTGTAAACAGAAACATCTTTGTAGCCAGTGCTTCAAAAAGCCATACCACAGTAATTCATTCTTGTGTGGGTGTGAGGGCCCAGGAATTCATATGTCCAGTAAGAGAAAAATGGGCCATAGGATAAGCCAAATCCTATTTGCCTTGGGATTAGACTCACTACTGAATTCTGATTGCTGAGTGTATCACCTAATTCTGTAATAATTCACAGATACTGCATCAACCCTGACTTTTAAATACTCTCCCCACCTTGCTCTCTACCTACAACATATGGCAGAGGAATTGCAGTTACACACGTGGGCTCTAAATCCAGATTACTAGTGTTCCAATCCTAGCTCAGTCACTAATTGGATGTGTGGCACAGGTCAAGTTACTTGATCTCTTTGGGCCTCAATTTCCCCTTCTCATTAAAAAAGGATAATAACAGCACCTTCCTTGTAGGGTTGTGAACATTAAATGAGTCAATACATGTAAACTACTCAGAATACTGCCTGGTAGACAATAAGTTTTACTAGTTAGATATTATTCTTATATGTATTATTACTTATTTTTATACAACTATGTGCTTGGCACTTTCTGCTTTATATCATGCTTTCCAAACTTGTGGATTCTATTAATGTGGAGACCTTAAGAAGCAGATTTCTACCCTGGATCTAAATTCCTATCAATCTTAATTTTCATCTGCTTTATAAACCTCCAGCAGTACCTGGGTACTGTTACAATTATGCTACCTGCATCCAGAGCAATAAAGTGTGGAATTGAAAAAAGATGAAGTCTCTCACGTTAAGCTGGTAAAATGGAGTCAGGTGGACATGAGAAGGAGAGGAACAAATTCCTCCTTCAGGATGAACTCTTGAACTCTTTAGATGCCTGAAATGCATCTGAAAGTCTTCTCAAGGACGATACATTATCAAGACAAAGACCTCATTCCCAAAGACAATAAGATTATTGGGACAGAGACCTCTTCCTATTAGAGTCATCTCCCTCATTCCTAAGTTTAATGGCTTGTGTCAACCAACCCTCACCTGAATGATTACCTTGTGCCTGGAATTTGTCAAAGGACACTCCTTCCCTTTTTTCCTTTGCCCTTGTTAGTGAGCACTAGAATACCTTCCTTCTCCCTTTCAGTGTGGGAAACACAATTCAAGGGCTACTTGAATTTGTGTTTTTCCCAGGCTACAGTCCTAACAAGCCCTGAATAAACTTTGTTTTGTTTAAGTCTATCAGAGTCTACCCTATAATTGGTCAACAAAAGTCACTCCTTAGCTCAGAATTTGACAGCACTACTGAGCTTCCTGGCCCAGTTCCCAATATATAAGTCAAATCTTTAAAGAGAGTAGATTTCCATTCTGTATCCAACATTGGTACCTCAGAAGCTCCAAAACGTAACTTTTGGCCCAGTGTGATATTGTGATTTATAATAACAAATAAATATGTGGTCTTCATCCTAGTTTCTGGCACAGAGCTACTAAAACACTTGGAATTTCCTAAGTGTTGAGAGAGAGAAAGGTGTCTTTTGTTGTTATGAGGTGACTTTGGAAAGCACCTAAGGATGGGGGCTCCCTGCCAGTGGAGCTGATCATGTGATTAGAGGCTAGGAACTTTCAGTCCCACCCCCCTGTCCCCCTGGGGAGGGGAGAGGGCTGGAGGTTGAACCAGTCACCAATGGCAAATGACCTAATCAATCAAATGAAGCCTCCATAAAAACCCAAAAGCAGGGGGTTCAGAGAGATTCAAGGTTGGGGAACCAGAATGCTTTCATGTACCACCATGTCAGGTCCCAACTCTACCAGGATAGAAGTTCCTTAGTTCAGGACCTTGTCCTATGTATGTCTTCATCTGGCTGTTGATTCACATCCTTTAATATCATTTGTAATAAATCAGTAATCAAGTAAATGGGTTTCCTGAGATCTGTGAGCCTGTCTAGCAAATTAATTGAACCTGGAGGGAGCAGGGAATGTGGCAACCTCTGACTTATAGCCAGTCAGTGAGAAGCACAGGTAACAATGTGGGCTTGCAATTGGCATGTGACGTGGAGGGTGGTCTTGTGGGACTGAGCCCTTAACCTGTGGAATCTGATGCTATCTCTGAGTAAACAGTGTCTGAATTGAGTTGAATTCTCAGACACCCAGCTGGTCTTGGAAAATTCCTTGGTGGTGTGGGGAAACCCCCCCCCCACCACACACACTGTAATGGTGGCCAGAATCATTACCTACTTAGGTCATTAATTAGATTTTCAACAGGAATAAAGCTAAGTTTGGGGGAAGAAGGAAAAATTAACATTAGAGAGGCCAGAGCTGAAGGACTTAAGAATTTAAATATCATATGTTAGGTAATATGGAACAACTCAAGATTCCTTTTATCAGGCTTATCCTATACAGAGAAAAAGGGGGATATAAAAGACTTTTTTTTTTTTTGAGGAAGATTAGCCCTGCGCTAACATCTGCTGCCAATCCTCCTCTTTTTGCTGAGGAAGACTGGCCCTGAGCTCACATCCATGCTCATCTTCTTCTACTTTTTTTTTATATGTGGGATGCCTACATGGCATGGCTTGCCAAGCGGTGCTATGTCCGCACCCGGGATCTGAACCGGCAAACCCTGGGCTGCTGAAGCAGAACATGCAAACTTAACTGCTGCGCCACTGGGCAGGCCCCTAAAAGACATTTTTTAAAGGCAAAAAAAAGGAAACTATGGAGAAACAAGCTATTGAAAGATTTTAATTTGTTTTACCTAGGGCAATGACATGACCTAACCCAAAATTTAACAGGGTCCTTCTAGCTGCTATGTGATAAACAGGTTGTTGGGGGACAGGTCTGGACGCAGGGAGGCCAGTGAGGAACCTACTGTGCTCATCCATACAAGAGTCAGTGATGCTTTGGACTGGGTGGAAGCTTTCGAAGTGAACAGTAGTCATACAGAGGGTATGTCATTGAGACCTCCATGGTAAGGAGCTTAATGAACCTGTTGAGGGAGTGACACTATACAGAGAAAAATGAGACAATCTAGTGAAATTTTTTTTTTGGAAGATTACCCCTGAGCTAACATCTGCTGCCAGTCTTCCTCTTTTTGCTGAGGAAGACTGGCCCTGAGCTAACATCCATGCCCATCTTCCTCTACTTTAAAAGTGGGATGCCTGCCACAGCACGGCTTGCCAAGCAGTGCCATGTCAGCACCTGGGATCTGAACTGGTGAACCCCGGGCTGCCGAAGTGGAACATGTGAACTTTAACCACTGTGCCACCAGGCCGGCCCCTAGTGAAATTTTTTAAAAGTAAGAAATTAAAATTGAGACCATGTGAGTGTGAGGTTATCCAAGCTGAGGTGCAGGCAAATTAAAAAAAAAAAGTCATTAATGTAATAATGAACATGGTGCTAATTATGTGCCTGGCACATCAATATTTTATATATATTAACTCTTTTAAACCTCATTGCAACCTTATGAGTGAGGTACAGCTATTATTTTCATTTTACAGATGAGGAAACTGAGACACAAAGAGGTTTAGTAAGTTGGCTAAATTTGCACATCTGTTAAGCAGTGGAGCTGATATTTCAACCAGGCATTCTGCTTTGAGCCTGTGTTCTTGACCATTACGCAATGCACTTCTCTAATGAGCAGAAAAGCACACCAGCATGTAGGCAATTACTTAGAAGGGTTGGTTTTGGTCAAGATCAGTGGCAGGGAGTGGGCAGAATCCTTTCTGCAGGGATTAAGGAGAGAATGGGAAGTGCCAGGTGAGGAGAAGATACAGATCTGAAGCATTTTATAAGAAATAAAATCAACGAAATAGAAGATAGCTAAGGAGAATGAAAGGTGAAGCTTCAATACATAGTAAAAGGTCCTAAGAGTCATAAATAGAATGTTTACTGGGCATTTGATGACATTAAATAATAAATGTTAAACTGTTTTAGGGTAATAAGTACTTTCTTTTAAGATACCACTACCTATTAGTGAAACAAACTAATATTTATTGATGGAATATGGTCTCCGGAATTTGCTTCAAAATGATGTGGGATGAAGGTGAGTGAATGGAGTATAGATGAAATAATATTGGCCTCATGTTGATAATTGTTGAAACAGGGTGACGGGTACACATGGGTTTGTTATACTACTTTGTACACTTTGGTATATGTTTGAAATTTTCTATAACGTATGTAGTAGGTTGAACAGTCTCCCCCAAATATTCATTTATATTTGAAACCTCAGAATGTGACCTTATTTGAAAATAGGGTCTTGGCAGATGTAATTAGTTCAGGATCTTGAGACGAAATCCTGGACCTAGGGTGGGCCCTAAATCCAATGACTGGTGTCCTTCTAAGAAGAGGAGAAGATGTAGAGACAGAGAAGACAATGCAAAGAGAGAGGCAGAGGGTGGAATGACGCAGTTACAAGACAAGGAACGCCTGGGCCCACCAGAAGCTGGAAGAAGCAGCTTCTTCCTCACAGCTTTCAGAGGGAGCACGGCCCGCCAACTCCTTGCATTTGAACTTCTGGCCTCCAGAACTGTGAAACAATAACTTTCTGTTGTTTTAAGCACCTGGTTTGTGGCAATTTTGTTTTATTGCAGCTCTTGGAAACTAATACAATGTTAAAAAACAAAAAGATTCTATGACAATGCAAAGGTGGCGGTGGGGAGGCTAGAATGCTAGAGAAATGAAGATCAAAAACTCTAAGTCCAATCCTAATGATGCTTGTGTGCAGAAATAGAGAAACGCACCTTAAAATTCATATAGAATCTCAAGGGACTCCATACATTCAAAACAATCTTGAAAAAGAAGAATAAAGTTGGACAACTCAGACTTCCTGATTTCAAAACTTCCTACAAAGCTACAGGAATCAAAACACTGTGGTCCTGACATAAAGACAGACACAGAGACCAATGGAATAGAACAGGAAGTCCAGAAAGAAACCCTCATGTATATCATTAAATGATGTTTCACAAGTGTACCAAGACCACTCAATGGGAAAAGCACAGTCTTTTCAACAAATGGCACTGGGAAAACTGGATATCCACAGGCAAAGGAAAGAAGTTGGATCCTCACTTTACAGCACATGCAAAAATTAACTGAAAGTGGATCAAAGACCTAAACTTAAGAGCTAAAATTATAAAACACTTAGAATAAAACATGGGGGAAAAGCATCATGACACTGGATTTGGCAATGATTTCTTGGATATGACACCAAAAGCACAGGCAACAGAAGAAAAAATAAGCAAAGTGCACTTTATCAAAGTTAAAACCTTTTGTGCATTAAGAGCGTAAAAAAACAATCCAGAGAATAGGAGAAAATATTTGCAAATAATATATTTCATAAGAGATTAATACCCAGAATATATTTTTAAAAACTCCTACAAATCAGCAACAGGAAAACAAACAACCCAACTTAAAAATGGGCAAAGAACTTGAAGAGACACTTCTCCAAGGAAGGTATACCAATGCCTAATAAGCACATGAAAACATGCTCAACATCACTAGTCATTATGGAAATGCAAATCAAAATCACAACAGGATTGTGATTCATACCCATTGGGATGGCTATTATAAAAAAACCCAAAACAGAAAATAACAAGTTGTTGGTGAGGATGTGGAGAAATTGGATATCTTATTCACTGCTGGTGGGAATGTAAAATTGTGTAGTAGCTGGGGAAAACTTCATGACAATTCCTTAAAAACATAAACACAGAATTACCAAATGATCCAGCAATTTCACTTATGTGTGTATACCTAAAAGAACTGAAAGCAGGGACTCAAACAGATTATTTGTACACCAATGTCCACAGAAGCATTATTCACACTAGCCAGTAGGTGGAACAGCCAAAAGGTAGAAACAACTCAAATGTTCACTGGCAGATGAATGGATAAACAAAATGTGGTATATACATACAATGGAATATTATTCAGCCATAAAAAGGAAGGACATTCTGACACATGCTATGACATGATGAACTTTGAAGATATCATGCTAAGCAAAATGAGTCAGACACAAAAGGACACATACGGTCTGATTCCACTTTATATGAAGTATCTAGATATCTAGGTATCTAGACTAGTCAAATTCATAGCAACAGAAAGTAACATAGTGGTGACCAGTGGCTGGGGGGAAGCAGAAGGAGGGGTTACTGTTTAACGGGTAGAGAGTTTCAGTTTGGAATGATAAAAGACTTCTGGAGATGAATGGTGATAATGGTTGCACAACAATGGGATATACTTAATGCCACGTACACTGAAAAATGGTTAAAATAGTAAGTTCTACGTTATGTATACTTTGACAAAATTAAAAAAAGAAAGAAAGAAAAATCTCCTCAAAGTCCTAAATGAAGTTGATAAGAACCACAGGTGGAATACACTTGAGGGGGAAAACGTCACGTTCTAAAACCCATGCAAAGAAGAGCTTTAATGTGAGAAGGTGATACACGGAAATGGTATTCAGGTAGATAAGGAACTATGTCAACTCGCCCCAGTTATTTCCAAAGGTCCAAGGCCTTTAAGAAGAGAGTCCTGAAGCATATTTTTCAAAGATGCCACCCGCATTGACCAATTGTGATCCTAACTTCATTCACTTCCATCCATACACCTCTTCACCTAACTCACCTGGATAGCTCCAACTTGGGATTTTTCTCTCCACTATCCAGGGTTCTTCTCCTTGTTCCAACTTGTGGACCACAGCTGGCTTGGTGCTCTGAAATCCTGTCAATGGGAAAGGATGTGGGATTTGGACCTAGCTACCTGGGCTTCAGGTGCTTTGAACTCTGAACTTCATCAGGGACCAACTGATGAAGGTGCCCACTTGTACCTGAAAAAGAGAGGTCTTTAAACAAACTTGTAGCCATATCTCCCAAAAGATTGTCAATGTTAGTCTAATAACCTCAGGGCCACAACTGTAAAAGTACCTCAAAGGGTTGGCAATTTGGAGCAACAGAGAAAGGAAAAGTAGTCAACCAGGCCCATGCCAATCAACACTAAGAAATGGTCCTCACCCACTGAGATGAGGTTGATATAGTTCTCCAGCATCACATCCTTGTACAGATCTCTCTGGGGAGGGTCCAGAAACTGCCACTCCTCCCGGGTGAAATCCACAGCCACGTCCTTGAATGATACTGGTCCCTGTAACAACATTACTATTCCAACTGAAGTGATCACTATTGCATAAGACAGGAAAAAAATGCACAGCAACTTGTTCTAAGCATGTTCATTATTTGATAATGTTTCCTGAAATTTAGTCCCACTTCACTTTGGGCAATATTACAGCAAATTGGTCTCATTCTGTTCCTCTAGCCCTGTGTTTTGATGTTCATTTGTCTAGTTTATGTTAGATTTTGTGAGTGATACAAAATTCACACTTGAAATATTTTATAGTTACGTGTTAATTATTCATTAGGTGATTCATTTATTAACATTAAACATTTACTGAGCACCCATGACATGTCCAGAACTGATTGCCCTAGGTGCAAAGGATCAAATATTGGAAGCTGATCCAATTTGCCAAAGCATAGAAAATATGCTCACTTGGTATCAAAAGTTATACAATAAGAAGGCACTGTTCAAATTGCTCTTGATGAGTTTTCTTTTTAACAAAGAAATCAAACACTTTAATTCTCAATGTTTCAAATTACAGTGTACTAAACATTTCTTTTACTATACTTCATTTCCCCATACTTGTATAGCCAACAGTAAGAGAGGATTCAATGTTTTGACAAAAATTTTTAAAGGTCACAGAACAACTGTAATCAATAGGAAAACCCCACTGACTATTAAGATCGCTTTGCATGATTTCAGCTCACATGGTCATTTTCACAGTCCTGCACTACGGTTCCTATACAGCAAAACATACTAGCTCACCTGGGACTTGGTCATTTTCTGTAGCCCTTGGGTGAAGGCAGAGATCTATGAAGACAGAGGTAGGGTAGGAGACAGAGCCATGAGAAACCAGGTATGACTTGAGGATCCCAGAACCACTGGCGTAACAAACCGCTACACAGTAGTTGGGTGGAGGATGCCATCCTGTGGGAAAACGTCCCCTGGCCCTTCCAAAATTCATTGTGAGAAAATCACAGATTTGCATTAAGATTTAACTACAAGGATATCTGTTGTAGCATTTTTTAACATATGAAAAGTTAGAACAAATTAAGGAACTGGTTAGACAAGTAGATATATACCCCAAACATAAATTTGCAGTCATCCAAAATGCTGTTGTCAAATCTTTATCAAAACGTTAAAAGGTAGTTGGTGTGCACTCTTCTCTGACCCTCTAGTCATGCCTTCTGTGGACTCTAAGCAGGGCTGGGGGGCAGGGACGGGCTGGCGTCTGAAGGTAGGATGGAGCAGCACTGGGTTCTCAGTGGGACCCAGGAACTGGGCAGAGACATCAACAGACCCTGAAAATATAACGTCCATCTGGTGAGATTCATTCAACACTCTCTCTGGAATCTTCCCCAAGGGAGCTGAGGTGCAGGTCCCTGTGCTTGAAGCAGAGGAGGAGCAGAGTTCAATCAAATGCCGTCTTTTAGGTTGGGAGGCATTGTAAAGAGTAGGAGATGGTGAGGCAAACACTTGGGCTTCAATTTGCCTGCTGGCTATTTGACCTTGGGCAAGTCACTTCACCTTTCTGAGCCTCTGTAAAACCGGAAATAATACCTGTGTTGTACCAGCGGCTTTCACTGTTTTTTTTTGACTAAGGTAACAAATCTATTTTACAAAACAACCTAATGTTAATGTTTGTGTGTGGCCATGCTGGCTGTTCCTTCTGCTCAGCACACTCTTCCACTATTTCTTCAAGTCTTCACACAAATATCATCAAGGAGGCCTCTCCTGTCTACTTAAATTTAACCCTGCCCCATCTCCCTTACCTTGAGCTACTTTTTCTTGTGTATAACACATCATCTTCTAATACACTATATAATTTACTGATTTATTATGCTTATTGTTTATTATCTCTACTTGCTATCAACACCAATAATCAATAATATATTCTATAGATAAGAGAAATAAGGTGAGTTTGACTTGGGCCAGAGTGAGGATTATAAGCCTGGAAGGCCTTAGAAAGTGTTCCAGAGAAGCATGGTTTTCAGTGCAGTCTTCTATCTTTTTAGAACAAAGAACATACATGAAACATGCCTTGGATACATTTTCAAAGTTTCAGAGAGGTATTTAGTTAAAAATTAGCAGGTCAACAACCACCCTGATGTCGGGAAAGGGACTAATACCGGTGTTACCAATAGGGCTGACCAACAGGGCGCAGGAGGGGAAGTACGCATTCCCTAAGAGAGTGCATTCTTTAATGGGTAAGCAGATGTACACTGTAGGTTTGACAGGCCCCTAAGTCAGGCTTCTTTAGTTCAAGCCAAATCAGTTTTGAACCTGAACAGTTACCCCATATACCTCAATATGTGAAAATCTCTTGACATAAGTAAAACTAAAATTTCATGAAGGCAGGGATTTTTGTCTGATTCAATGTTATAAGTAGTCACAGCACCAGGAACAGAGTCTGGTTCATAGATGCTCAATAAATAGTAATAAGCTATATATACATATACCTGTAGTAAGTTTCATAAAACAATCCATAATATCACATGGGATCCATATGTATTATTTTACAGTATTTTATTTAATTTCTTTAAAATGCTTGCATACAAGAGTATCTACTGTCGGATTCCATGTATACGATGTTCTAGAAGGGCAAAGTTAACCTATAAAGACAGAAATTGGAAAACTGGTTGTTTCTTGGACACGTGGGGGGAGGGGTTGACAGAAAAGGAGCAGAACTTTCTGGGGGATTAAAATGTTCTATATTTTGATGGGCGTGGTAGTTACATGGGTGTATACAACAAATTTTACACTTTTATTCTCTGTAAATGATGTGCAAATTATCCTGTGTAAATTGTATCCCAACTTTAAAAAAGTACTGGCAAATAAACCAGTCTTGACTCACTAAGCAGCTTTCACCACCCATACTCTCCCGGAACATTTAGGACCTGCAGTAAAGCTTGGTTCTCTTTCCACACCCCGGAAGGCGCTCCTCACCGTGGCGTCCGCCACTTGAGGACACAGGCACCGCTGGATGCACTCGGGGGCGGGACACCTGCAGGGCCCGCGCAGCGCGCCGAGTCCCCAGACCAGCAAGAACGCAGCCCCGGGAGCCCGCCTGCCCAGGGCTCACGGACCCTGGCTGGGCAGGGTCACTGCAGCTTTTGACACACGCCAGTCCACGCCTACCCCAACGTCCCGCTGAGCCCTATTGTTCTTCCCCCACCTCGCCCGAGCCCGCGCCGTCCTCCTCGGCACACCTCCAGTCCGAACCAACGCCAGCCAGGAGCGGGACTTGGCCGCGTGGGACTCACCACCGCCGGGCGGCAGCGTTATGAAGACAAGAAAGGTACACACGCGCAGGAGAGGGCGCCGCGCGAGGCTCGCCGGAGTATGTTCCCTCCGATTGTAAACTACATCTCCCAGAATGCCCGCGCTGCGGCGCTGCACATGCGCGTGAGGCGTCAGGTGTGTGCCGCCTGATTTCAGGGCTGTGTTCCCCGCTCCAGTGCCGAAAAAAGACCCAGATGGAGGGACGCAAAGGCGCGCTTGGCGGCGAGCCTAGCGATAGCGACCAGACCTAGTTCGTTTCAAGAATTCTCCAAGGCAGGATCACATTTCACTACAAGTTTGAGGACTTAACTCAGGAATTTGAGTTTGAGACCAGGGCTTTTCCTATTTCTTGCGGTCAGCCTTTCCATTTCCCTGAGTACGCCTGTGAGTATAATTATGGCGAAGGGGAAATACATCTCAGAGATTTCATGAAAATGCCTGCAAATCGAGCTAACAATGGTTTACATCAGTATCCTGTCACCACGTGGGATATTTCCTAACATACAAATTTACATTGATCACACCGATATGAAGACCAATAGCTAATTTGTCTGAGTAGTATTTACGAAGGAAAACTTGAAAAGTCCTGGAGACAGTTTTGCTTTTCAGGGCAGTTCAATATTATGAAGATGCAGCTGTTCCAAAATGATCTAGTGCAACATTAATCAGTGCCCTATCTGATAGGTATCCACAGTTCTAGAGAATCTGGTTATTTGGGAAAAATAATATTGGATAATCACCTTACATGTTCTGCCAATTTCCATATGGCTTCAAAGTTACGACAAAAGAAAATACGTATACAGCATTTACTATAGTGTAATAAAAAATTTGGCTGGCCTTTGTTCTAGGTTCCTGGGAAGTGATTTCCAAACCTTTGAATAAAGAATTTGGCTGGAGAAATAAAGATTTGTCCTTGGTTACTGGAAGGTGGCCTCTAAATCCTTGGGATTTCCCCAATGATAGAAATGTCTCTGTTTCTCATCGTGCCGCCTCAGCGTGGCTTGATGAGAAGTGCCATGTCTGCAGCCAGGATCCAAACCAGTGAAACCCTGGGCCCCCGAAGCAGAGTGCACGAACTTAGCCATTCAGCCACCAGGCCGGCCTCTCAGCTGAATTTTTAATGAAAATAATCTTGCCATTAGGACTAAAAGCAATTCATTTTTTTAGGTCTTTCTATAGGTGGTACCCTGACCTATACTCCTGTATAAATGTATCAGTAAATTTTTGTGGTTGTCTTGAAATATTTCTTTTAGAGGGCAGTTATAATGTTAGAGCTGAACTCCATAAGCATTCTTCTTTAGGGAATTATGGTACAGTTTATCCAGGGACAAAACCTAGAGAGGATGGAATGATGAGTGTCTGTCTGTCTCCAGAGTAAATATTTCTCTCAAACAGGCAGTTCTTTAGTTATAATTCAGTGTCAGATGCCTAGAGAGCAGGAGTCTCTGATTCTCTGTAGCCTTTCCTGGGTCTCAGGATTGATGAGGTGACTCCCTAACTCAATGTCAGTTCTTTCTCTATTTTTCAATTTATAAAGTCATTTTGCTGTTTTTTTCCTGGTCCAAGTTATCTCTACTTGGTATAAACATTTAAAAAAATGCAAAAACAGTAAAAATTATAAAGTGAAAGGGCCTCTCATTTAACATTCTCTTCCTCCTGGCATGGCTAGTATTAATAATTTGTGATATTTAGATTTTTTTCTCCATCTGGAAATTATTGATTCTATTGTTTTTAAAACATAAAATCTCAACATTATTATTTAACTGATTGACTGTCCAGTTCTCCCAGCACCATTTGTTGAATAATTCACTTATTTGAAATGCTGCGTTTATTGAATTCCCGTTTGTGATAGATCTCTTTTGCACTTTTGTTCTCCTGATGCATTTGGTTCTTTTTGCTAAAGACAAAATTTTACATCGTTTTTCTCAATGCGCATGATGTAGAACTGGGCATACAGGTTTTATGCTATGGTAAAAATGGCAAGAATGATCACTTCAGATTGAACAGGAACGTGCTACTATAGGGTCCAGTGTCATTCGAGGATGTGGCTGTAGATTTCACCCACGAGGAGTGGCACCAGCTAGACCCTGCTCAGAGGACCCTGTACAGGGATGTGATGCTGGAGCACTACAGCCTCCTGGTCTCAGTGGGTAAGGATGGCTCCTCTCTGTAACTCAGCATTATCCACTCCAGCGCCTGTTCCTTCTCATGTGATTGAGTTGGGTGGGTTCCTGACATATATAGTGCCTTTGTGCTCTCTTTCCTCTCTCCAGTGAAAGGTCATTACTTTGCTGAGGGTCAGCTGGACAGCTTCGTTGTGGGGCTCCTAAAATGGCACCGTTTCTTCTTTCTTCAGCATAGTAAACCCAGCTCCTCGATGATTTCTCTATAGTAGGGCAGCAAGTTTCCAAAGCAGATGTCATCCTCAGGTTGGAACAAGGAGAGATCCATGGATCATAAAGAGATACATATCAAGTTGGATTTATCCAGGTGAAAATCTGGCAGATGGGAGACAAAGGAAGTGAAATCTCAGTTTCTTTGTTTTTGTTTTTGTTTTACTGAGGAAGATTGGCCCTGAGCTAACGTCTGTTGCCAGTCCTCCTCTTTTTGCTTGAGGAAGATTGTCAGTGAGCTAACATCTGTGCCAGTCTTCTATTTTGTACACGGGATGCTGCTGCAGCATGGCTTGATGAGCGGTGTGTAGGTCCACACCTGGGATCTAAACCTGTGAACCCTGGGCTGCCAAAGCAGAGCGTGCAAACTTAACCACTATACCACCAGGCCGGCAGCCTTTGTTTTTGTTTTAATTGACTGATGGCACCCAGATTGGTAGCTCCTATTCCTTCTTGCTCCTGTGCTGAGCATGTAGTAGGTATTCAATGACTACTTAAGTAATAGCCATGTACAGAAGAGAAATATCTCATTGATCCACTCAACCATCATATTTCTATTGCCTTTCTGAAAGAAATTCAAAGGCAATAGAAGGCAAATGCTTTTCAGGAACAGAGGTTGTACATGGAAAGATGGTGTCAAGATTCGTGGCTGTAGAAAATTGCATGTCCAATATAGTTACTGCTTTAGGAGTACAGTGAAAATCATAGTCTAAAGGATGTGGCATAATTTAAGAGGGGATTTTTCAAAGCGTGAACCAGCTACTATGAGGTATATCTGAAGTATATCTGAAGTTAGGCAGGAGAAGGAGGGCAAGGACAATCTCTAGGAAAGGACATGTAGTACCTCTTGAAGTTAGACATCAGTGTGGCTTTTCTGGTGGAAATTTACTAGGCTTATTTGATTTCAATAAAAGATATTTATCAAATAGTGGAATATAAGTTTGGATACACAGTGTGAGTACAGACAGTTAATATTTCGTTAGCTGTACCCTGAAATTTTGTTATTGTTTTTTTAAACAACTTTGAGATATAACTCACAGGCCATACAATTCACTCATTTAAAGTAAAAAATTCAGTGTTTTTTTTTTAGCATATTCACAGATATGTGCAGCCATTGCTGTAGTCAATTTAGAAACATTTTTATCACCTCCAAAAGAAACTCTGTACCCTCTAGCTATCCATCCCTATTCCCCAACTCCCCAGCCCTAAGTAACCACTAATCTACTTTCCATATCTATTTGTTCATTTGCCTACTCTTGATATTTCATATAAATGTGGTCTTTTGTGACTGGCTTCCTTCACTTAGTATAAT